TTAAAAATTTTCATGACTAGAGTAATTAGTAAATTGCCAGTATACAAAACCTCAACTATTTACGTAGTACAATATCAAGCGGATTGTTCGGTCCTTGTTTATTTCTCCGTCTTATTCTAATTACTTTTGGCGTTTTTTTTTAATTTATCCTATGCTACTGCAGCGCCACCCTTATTTGACGCGTTTTTACGGACACTTATTATATACAGGGATGGTCTTCCTTCTACTCTATACTCCATGGAACAGGGGTATAAAAGTCCTCAGTAGCTTGCTTTTACCGCCATCTCACAGTCATTAGAAGCACTATTTTCCCCAATATTTTTACACATTTTATTGAAAAGATGGCGTCACTGCTGGCATTTATTGTTTATACCGAAGCCTATTTACATTAATTATTGATATCTCAATATTCCCGTTAGATACGATAAAACTAATATTACTTTTGTAATCTACAGGTTATAAGGAATAAATTGACACGTATTTCATTAAGTTTATTAAATTTCTAGGGGGGTGCCGATGAGGTGCTAACTAGGGCGCTGTCGACATTTAATCCGCCTATGCTCGTGCGTCCGCTAAGATTAGTGTTCTGTGCTAAGAAGTGACAAAAGTGTCATGTGTAGGTACGTAGGTCATATGTGAACACCAACGTAGGAGCGTTGCATCGCATACGTTGTCACCACGTAGACGTTTCCATCAAATCCACGTTAGTGACATCCTGATTCCGTGCACACCCGTATTCTACGTTCTATATCATCATATTGAAAATCATAGTATTAAACTGTTTGTCGAAACAAAAGCCACTTATAAGTGTAAAATAGTTACGGTTTAATGAATTAAATTAAAAAATAATAGTTCAATTAATTAAAATTAGTAAATAATAGTTCAATGAACGCATGCTGTGATGTATAAAGTTACTGGACTAATTATTAAACACACTAGTTTGGTCCGAAGTCTACCAATATTATTTTCATAGTTCTTTTTTTTTTATTTGTAATTAATATATTAAAATAAAATTAAAAAACAACTAACCCTGTACTTTATTAAAGTTTAGATCTATTATTTAAGAAAACTTAATCTAAAGTTCATAAAAATCTTGTTGCTAATTTTAATTTGGAAATTCTGTAAAAGAACTACCGATATACTCAACTAATATCCGATGATATTCCGAACGTCATTCTGAGCGATATTAGAATGGCTCTCTAGCACATTAAAAAGGGCAAAGCCCTGGGTGAAGATGGAATTATAGCGGAACTTCAGAAAGCGGGTGGAAAGCCAGTACTTGAAGTCTTCAGAAGCTCTTCAATTCCGTCCTCCGTAGTGGTACTACTCCGCAGGCGTGGAGTAGAAAAGCGGTGGTCTTGTTCTTCAAAAAAAGCGTAAACGCTCTTTTGAACAACTACAGACCGATTTTACTTCTGAGCGGCGTCTACGGGCTGTTTTCGAGAGTTATGATTTTACGAATTACGAATTGTCTCGCTCGCAGATTTGTCGACCTGCAGCCTCCCAAATAAGCCGGTTAGATAGAGCACATTCATACCCTTCGGCAAATTGTACATAAGACCGAAGAGTACGATCTGCCACTTTGAAATTTGGGCGGTGCTAGTCCCTTCAGCGGTGCCAAGTTGACTCTCGGTACATCGATGTTCTGAAGTGCTTGTACAGTAGAGCTACGGTATACAGAGTAAGACGTCCGTACAGAGTACGAAACCTATCTAATTGCAGAGAGGTCTAAGACCGAGTGACCTTAAATACCCGAAACTCTTCACTGCTGCACTGAAAATCGTTTTCAAATTACTGGAATGGAAAGGATACAGTATTAACTTCGATGGTGATTACATCACTCACATTCAATTTAGTCTATTTAGTCCTTGTGGCTTAATCGCTGGAGGACCTTAGCACTATGCTCAATGACCTCAATAGTGTCTAACAAAGGATAGGTCTAAAGATGAACTTGGACAAAATAAAGGTCAAGGGTAACAACCAGTTGCTGGGAGCACTACGCTCGAAATTGCCGACGAGTATTTTTACCTAAGATACATTGTCTTACTAGATAAGTCCAACTACGACCGAGAGCTTAATTTATGGATTTAGTTCGACTGGGCAACGTTCACGACACATCTTCTCGCCAGGTGTACCTCAAAACTTGAAAATGAGATTGTACAACCAGTGCGTGTTGCCAGCGATGACTTATGGATCTGAGACGTGGTCCTCCACTGCTGGCCGTGTGAGGAAGCTCAAGGTTGCTCAGCGAGCTATGGAGAGGTTACGCTCAGGGTTTCTCTGCGTGATAAGCTTAGAAATTATAACCCGACGTAACTTAACTTAGAACCCGAGTAACCTGTGGCGGGTGGAAGGAAAAGGGGAGATCTCCCGCCGGGCAAGGTGTACTGCCCGGGGAGCGGCCAACGCTCAGATTGGTAGTTCGGAGTTATTCTATATATGCTGCTTTAATTTCGGAACTTTGTAAGCGCGATTTAGGCTTGGATGTGTTTCTTGTGATGTGGTCCAACGAATTAGTAAGCTTAGTTGGTAACGGGCCTACCATGTAGCCGAAGAACCGACAAAAAATCGAGAAGAAAGGTTCTCTAGTGGTAGCTTCATGCCAGTAGGTGAAATGTATTCCTTGGTTCCCAATTCTATGTTCAGCAGTGCACTTGTTTAAACATTTAAAGTTCATAAAACATATTCTTATTCTAAAAAAAAAGTAAATAACTACATCTCTAACTAAGAAATATTATCGAAAATATCTTAAAACATGGCCCTATTCTTTTTATTTATTTATATTTTATATATTACTTTTTATTTAATTTCATCATGTCATTTTAAAATACACAAATTCATAATTAAAGAGCATAATCCAACCATACTATAATTGTAAAAATAATCACACAGAGACGCGACGCGATACGACGATGCTTGAAGAGGCAAGTGGTTTTGCACCGCGCTGCGAGATGCATCGTCACGTCGCGAGGCGCATCGTGAAGTTGCTGACAGCGCACCGCTTTTGTATACAACTGCGCCTACCGACGGCGCGCCGATGCTTCTCGAATCGCGATGCGCCGCGCTACGCCGCGAGGCATCTCGAGTCGCAGTGTAGCGTAGGGATGTGAAAAAATAATCGATTTTAATATTAATCGATTATTTTTTTGTTATAATCGATTTTTCGAAGTCGATTATTTTTATAATAAAAATCAATTTTTAATAAATCGATTTTTATGTAAATTACGCGTTTCAATCGATTTTTGTAATCAGAGTCATCTGTGCGATGGATGTAAAAACGTGAAGTAAGTTCAATAATATGAATAAGTCAATCAAAAGACGGCGCCACCTTTATGTATCTCTATGTATGTAAAACAGTTTCGCTTTTCGTATGTTTTCAACAGGTTTCTTCCTCCGCTAGGAGTAAAAGTATTCTGTGGTTTTCTTTCTTTCTTTGGTTAGTGTAAACAACTATATATAAACAATAAAAATGTCTTGTGAAACGCGTAAAAGTGACTGACAGAAGTATTTTATAATGAAAAAATGATAGCGGCTAACACGTCAATAGGCAAAAATACTGAATTGAATCTATATATTACGGCACCACTATCAAATCTCAAGGCAGATGCCCTCAATATATGGAGAAGCTCTGAAGGAACTTTCCCTAAACTAACCGAATTGGCTTTTAAACACCTCTCAGTGATAGCCAGTTCCGCGCCAGCCGAAAGATTATTTTTGAAAGCGGGAAATATTGTCAGGAAAAAACGAAACCGTATTTTGGGAAAGAGACGAAGAAGAATTTTGGTGAAATGATTGTTTTTAAAGTCTTTAACTGAAAATTCATGGCAATATTTTTTTTACTTTTTTTGTTTACACTAGTGTAAAAAAAGATTTGTCTTTTATTTTAGTTTTGAGATCAAAAGGTTGTCGTCGGATTATTTATAATTATATTTTTATTTTATTTTCATTCTAATCCAATGTAAATGATACCGAACATTAGTGGCATAATGATATTTAGACTTTGTTTGTTCAAACTTAGTTTAAAAAAAAACTATCGTTTACTAAAATTATAGTTTCTTAATGATTTCTTATATTTACGCGAAGACTACACATTTAATGAAATTAATTTTTACGGATTTGATCACGCTTAATTTAACTTTTTAATTCCTGACGTTTCGGGTGCTTCACAGCACCCATGGTCGCGGGGGGAACTGAGGTCTTTGACGTCCAGATGTCATAATTAGCCTGGCTAAATTCAGTTTTTGAATATTAATTTTTGGTCCGATCTACGCAGAATGAGCTTACAGTATCTTGAAGTCTTACAGTGGTATGCTTGGGTTTGGATTTAATTTTATTAATTATAGGATGCCAAGCAGATGGCAGCACCCATCCATATTCTCTATTGAAATTAGGATGTTTTTTAATTTCGATAGCCTAGCGAATCATCCTTCGTAGGAATCGGTGTTCTTTTGCGAGGATTTGTGGTTCAACTATGACATAGGGACGTCAAACACCTCAGTCCCCTCTGTGACCATGCATGCTGTAAAGCACCTGAAATGTGGGGAATTAAAAATTTAAATTAAACGCGATAAAATCCATAAAACTTAGTTTAATTTATCGTTTCTGTTTATTTTGGTTGTAATAAATTGTTAAATGGCACTGAACATTTGTGGCAGTAATTATTTTTAGTTTTTTATTGTTCAAAGTTATATGTTAAAAAATTGTTCTGTAGTTTATTTCTAAAACCAGAAGATTATTTTCCGAATATAATTTTTTTTCGCAACAATCGATTATTTTTTTATAAAAAAATTGATTTTTCTTAAATCGATTATTATCACAATGCAAAAAATCGATTTTTTATTAATCGATTTTTTTTACTCAATGTCACATCCGTAGTGTAGCGTAGCGCGACGCCCCGGAGCATTTTAAAATTATCTCAATAAAATGTGTATCTTTTTGTGTGTTTATAAAGTTAGTAACTTGTTAACTTTGTTATTAGATTTTTCAACGAGAAAGTGAATATGAACTCCGAGCAAAGGACAGCTGTGGAATGTATTGTGGCTGGTACATCAGGTGCGGCGCCATTCTTATTACACGGCCCACCTGGAACTGGCAAGACTGTCACCATAGTTGAAGCAATTTTACAGGTATCAGACAATTTTGTTGTTTTCTATTTAAAAACCAACTGCTTAAGTCTTACTTACTTAACTTATAGGATACTTTTATCCCGGAAAAATGCACGGTTCCTGTGGTATTTCAAACTCAGTTTTAATGCACTCCCGTTGTTGCCTTAGCCAGTATCGGAATCCTCGGCGTCGACATATCGAGTGGCGTGCAGTTTCGTGGTCACTTGGAAGAGAAGGCCAAATTGGCCTCAGAGAAGAGCGGGACAGTATTTCATGCCGGCACAACTGCAACTTTACAAGGCGCAGGCTTGGCCTCACATGGAATACTGTTCCCATCTCTGGGCTGGGGCTCCCCAGTGCCAGCTTCTTCCACTTGACCGCATCCAGCGCAGAGCAGCTCGAATCGTCGACGACCGAGTCCTTTCCGATCGGCTCGACTCATTGGCACTGCGAAGAGATGTTGCATCTCTTAGCATTTTCTTTCGCATTTACCATGGGGAGTGCTCTGAGGAATTGTTAGGATTAATCCCCGTCGCCAAATTTCACGAACGCACATCGCGGCAAAAGTCCCGATACCATCAACACCATCTGGATGCTTGGCGGTCCACCACTATACGTTTCACCAGTAACTAACAGTCAATTATAACCATTATATTTATTTAATTAAAAACCAATATGACTGTCTCGTTGGTGTAGTGGCCGTAAACGCAATTGCTGATCATGAGGCATTTGGGTTCGAATCCCGAGTCGGCCCAAAAATCTTGGTTATTGCGTTTTTTTGTCAAGAAATTCTCAGAAGCAGCCCGGAGTCAGGAGGTTGACGGTATTTCACTCCCGAGTTTCGGAAAGCACGTAAAGCTGTTGGGCCTGCGCCTGCGCCTGATCTCTCTCCGGTCGTGTCAGGTTGCCGTTCCGTCGGACTATGAGAGAGAAGGAATAGAGCTAGCTTCCGTTGAGACTGGCCGCCATGACCGAAATTCGGTCCGGAGAACATTATTATTACATTAATAACCATTACGAAAATTAACTTCTAAAGGGAAAAAAATATAACACTTCTTAAATTTCCGTAATCGGTTAAAAAGCTTATAACTTGACCTAGGTCAAGAAAAAAACAAAATAGCTTGGTAATTTTTGCGTGAATCGTGAATACAACAAGGCAGACAAACCGAAAGGCAGACAGAAAGATAGAAAGATAGACAGGCAAACAAACAAAATGTTTCAAAACCAAGAAGAAATTACTTCAGTCAGTGTCTGAAATCAGTAGAAAAATCAAATTACACTTGACTTTTCTATATTGATTTATTATATTTGAACTCATCGTGAAATTTAACTGTGTCATTATGTAATATGATAATAACTAGTATTATTTAAAAACAACAGCACAACAAGAACAAATGACTTTCATTCCAATTTTAAATTGCAGTTGGTAAAGAAAAACCCAAGTAATCGCATTTTGGTATGTGCTCATTCGAACACTGCGGTGGATAACGTGGCATGCTTGTTACTCAAATATACAAAAACATCATTTCTGCGCTTAAATTCGGCTTCTAGAAAGAGGTTAGTTTTTTTTTAACTTTATGCAACAAGGACTTAAAATATAACAAGTACTTACTATATTAATGCTTCCTATTTTTCATTTTCAAAAAAGCCCGCCGAAATGTTTGGAAGAAGTCGGCATATCAGGTAAACTTGGAGCCGAAGTATTAATTTCTTATAGGATATTACTCTGCACACTTAACCTAGTGAGTAACTATAAGTAAGTATCTTAATTCAAAACTTGTTTAAAATATATTAGTCTTATATATATATATATATATATATATTATTATATTATTATATTATTATATTATTATATTATTATATTATTATATTATAATATATTAGTCTGAAATACGTGTGATGAAAAAACAGACCTAAACTTGCTATTAACCGTGGCCCGCTAGTAATAGTTTAGTCAGCATTGTTCTCTATAGTACTCACAAGTATTCTGGTGAACATGACACTCCCCCACCAACAGTCACAGATACATCGATTATCACCAGGTCATCCGGTCGTAACTACCTACATTTAAGTTTTAATCTATACGAAGCTGGTAGAGAACTTTTCTTTCCGACGTTCCATCCATTGGGCTATGTTGATTACAATATATTATATCATAAAGAAGAAAGTCAGTTGACCTCGTGGACAAAAAAGAAATTACTAGGAGTTACCTAGTCAACTTCGAACACTCCTAATAATTTTGAAAGCTATCACACGCAGTAGATATGTATAATAGTATCACAGCTGGACGCAAATAATACATTTCCCAAACTAGCCATGCCTAGCTAAGATGCAGTGTCAGTGATATTTGCGTTTATTCTAGTTTAAGCTAGCGGCACAAAGTGTAAAAAAAGTAGAAATAGGCAAAAACATAAATAAAACGAGATTTTTACCAACATCATAAATTTAAGGAAAAAACTCGAAAGATTTTCGCCGTTTCATGCTGCAGCGCAGCAAGCAGTTTTCGTTGCTAGTTTTGAACGGAATCTGAATTTTGCCTGTACCACAGAATAAATAAGTACCTGTACATTCAGTACTATAGTTGGTTCGCGCTAAGAAAATAGTGAGTCGTCAGTGAGTGCACGGTAAAGGTGTATACACGGAGGACTAAAAATTAAAAAAAATACGTATTTTAAGAGATAAAGTTTAATAGATAAAAATCTCAAATTAAATTAATGTCATCCATTATATATTTTAATTAGTATTACTAGAATCTTCGTTCGTATTTATTATAAAATAATTTTGGACTCTTCTCCTTATTGCACATGTATTTACATCCAATTTATCAATCGGGGATAGCAGTCTTTTTTCACGAGTGCTTTTAATGTGTTATTTCCCTTTTGTTCCCTAATAATTTTATAAACTGTATTTTTAGCTACACCGCAAGCCCTTGCTGTTTTTAATACTGCAATCTCCTCAGACACATATAAATCACACAGTTTAAAATACTTATAAACATTGTAAAATATATTTTCATTTTTAAAATTTTATGTAGTTAACGCGAAAAGCCACAACCGTTTTGTACGAAGGTCTGCCTTCAACTGGTTACTGTGAAAGTGACTTTCTAATTTATCAACGACCTGATTGGTCGGGAAGCGTGGCTAGTCCTGCGGACAGCGACGACCAACTATTTTCTTAATGGCGCCTCTTCACGTTGGCCAACACAGTGGCGAATGTGTTGGCAGAGTTATTGGCCAAGAAATTGTGATCGCGTCCACACGTTGGAAGGTCGTTCAGTTTGCTTCGGTTCAGGCCAATGTGCAGACGAATTTATTAAAATGATTATTGATGCGCTAACGGCTGCTGCGGTTTATTTATTCATAGCATATCACTATTTTTTTATTTAATTTTCACTATTTTTTATATTTAATATTTTTAATATAAATTTTTAATATTTCTTTATTATACACTAACGTTATACAGATAAGTGAACAATATAAACATTAACACACCTAGGCATAGGTATAATTAACACTTTTACAACTAAGGCCTGGAAAATATTCGAAGCCTGTCTATGAAACTGTTGTCAAATTTTATTAAACAAAACCTTTTTAAAAAGGGTTATTATATAATTACGGAATAAATTTATTTATTTAAACTTTCATGCACAAAGTAGTACATATGGCCAACTTAATAATAATCCCGAGCCTCTTCACTACTGGGATCACTCATTTGGTTCCTAAAGACCGGGATACCATAGACCCGAGCAAATACCGTCCCATCACGTGTCTACCCACGATATATAAGACATTAACATCCATTTTGAGCGCGAGAATCACTCGTCACCTGAACTCAAATCAGGTGATGTCGCGCGCTCAAAATGGATGTCGGGGCGGTGGTCGTGGAACCAAGGAACCACTCCTCATTGACGCGGTCATTGGCAAAGTGGTTAAACGCAACCGTCGGAACCTATTCGCCGCCTGGATAGACTACAAAAAGGCATTCGACTCGGTGCCTCATACATGGCTGAAGAGGGTCCTCGAGCTGTACAAGGTGGACTGTACAGTTAGAGACTTCCTCGGGCAGTGTATGGGGTAGTGGAGTACGATCCTTTGTCATCTAGGCGAACGGATGACGGCTGCGGAGAACCACATAAGGATAAGAAGGGGTATCTTCCAGGGCGATTGTCTGAGTCCAATCTGGTTCTGCCTCTCTCTGAACCCTCTCAGTACCTTAACTGGAGGGCTCCGGGAGGGGATTTCAGCTTCGGAGAGGAGGTACAAAAGTGACCCACCTTTTCTATATGGATGATCTCAAGTTATTCGCCTCCAGTCGCTCTCATCTTGTGGAATTGCTAAACATCACTTGTGATTTTTGCAATTCTATTAGAATGGAGCTGGGGACGGATAAGTGTGTCCTCCATGTCGAAAGGGGTAGGGTTGCTAACTCTGAGGGCATAGATTTATATATGCCCATCAACATAAGGACCCTTTCCGAGGCTGAAACATACCGATACCTGGGTATGTCACAGAACATCGGTGTAGATGAGGCGGGTATGAAACGGTCAGTTTGCGATGTGTTTTATGCACGCTTGACCAAAGTGCTTAACAGCCTTTTGTCCGGTGTGAATAAGACGCACGCATATAACGGTTGGGTCATGCCTGTTCTCATGTATACCTTTGGCATACTTAGGTGGACTCAGACCGAACTAAACGCTCTGGACAGAAAAGTCCGCACTATAATGACGTCCCACAAGATGCATCATCCGAGATCGTCAGTAATGAGGCTGTACTTGCCGCGGAAGCATGGTGGGCGCGGCTTTTTAAGCGCGCTTACCATGCATAATCGCGAAGTGTGCAGCCTCCGTAATTACTTTCTGACGAGAGCGGATGATCCATACTATAGGGACGTTATTTCTTGTGATAAAGGACTGACCCCTCTATCCTTAGCCAACGAGCAATGGCAAGACCCAGCAGTACAGTGCATTTCCGACCGGGAGGCCGTATTTGCACAGACACAATCTAGTAGCCAGGATTCTACACCAGGAGCTCGCTCTGAAATACGGCCTCGTGGATCGGAAACTGCCGTATTATAAGTACTTGCCGGAAGCCGTGCTCGAAAATGACCGCGCCAGGCTCTACTGGGACCGGGCCATCATCACAGACAGGACTATTCTTGCGAATAAGCCTGATATTGTGCTGATGGACCGGGCACAGTCAAGGATCTTTTTGGTCGATATTACCATTCCTTATGACGAGAACTTCGTGAAAGCCGAAACAGATAAGGTGACAAAATATCTGGACCTGGCTCACGAGGTTACCGGCATGTGGGGTGGTCTGCCGACCGAAATTATTCCTGTGGTCGTTTCTGCGAACGGGTTAATCCCAGTCAGCCTCCCGGGTTATCTGAGGCGACTGGGACTCCGTGACGGACCGCTCCAGGCTCAAATGCAGAAGGCGGTGCTCCTCGATACCGCCCGCATCGTCCGCCGGTTTCTTTCCCTTTCTCCCTAACCCTCGGCCGTCTGGTCTCCCCTGCCGAGGGCTTCCATCTGGTTGGGTTTTTATATATTTATGTATTTTTTATGTATTTATTTTATTTTATTCATATTTATGTATGTTTACCATTTTCATTTACAATTATATATTTATACTGCCCAATCAGATGAGAAGACTTTATAGATACCCCAAAATAATAATAATAGTAAATAATTTATTTCGTCAAACATTAAAGTTACATTATATGATCAGTGATCGAGGTCACCTAGTAAGCAAAATAATGCCTGTAACAGGTGACTTCGCTCTTCCATAGCTAAAAATTACAGTATTATTAACGAAATAAAGTAACTAATAGGGAATAATAAAGACAGTAAAAACATGATTTTAGTATCCTACCTACTTTTTAATTTGATTTTAATATATATTATATATTATAGATTTTAAAAAATTTAATAAATCAATTAATACATCAATAAATAAATTAATACACAATTAATCACTACAATGTGTATAAGATAAGGGTGATCAAAAAGAATGGAAAAAAGAAATTTTATTTCTTGACGGTGCCGTGGCGTAGTGGCTTAGCAATGAGTTGCTGCCCTGGGGGCCGCGGGTTCGAATCCCGCACGGAACAAGTATTTGTATAGCCTGCACATAATTTCTCCGGGTCTGGATGTTTGTCCTTATGCAATTTATGTTTCTAAACTGCCTCCACGATACAGGAGAAAATCCTAGTGTATAATAACATTTTTTTTTAAAAAGACTTGTGTTTTACAAACAATTTTCGGCTTGGTAGGGCTCTATAAAGCGAAAAGTTTTTTCATTGGTCATTATCACTGCCGTTATGTAGACACTAGTTACGATGCGTGCATATAAAATTTAAATCAGGTGTGTGCAATCACTCTGGGAGCTCGTAGCAAACTGAACGTGCGCCCAACGTGTGGACGCGACGGCCAATACTCTGCCACAACCCTTTGATGTTTTGCAAACCGACACCACACGGATCTCGCGCCAACTTGTGGGCCGTCGTTCCAATATATACCAACATAGCTTAAACACCCGCTCTACACGATGGCCATCGTTGTTGGCCAACACATTCGCCAGTGTGTTGGCCAACGTGAAGAGCCGCCGTAACGCGAATAAACTATAGCGCCGTAGGCTTGGAAGAGCTGTCTTCGACAACAATTTGGAGACCGTTCACTCATAAAGAGCCTAGCTAGCCGATCAGACTGCAGAGTAGGTCGAGCATAATAGATCGCTGGCTGAAAGCTTGTTTGCCAAGGCCTTTAAAACGTTAAGAAAAATAGCAATTGTTTCCCCATTTTTCATAGAAGCCTCGCACCATATGTGGTTAACCATTAGAAGGTTTGTCGACCGATTATTGATTAACCCATAATGTCGGTTGTTCAGAAGAACTTTCTGTTCCAAGTATGCCATAAAATGGACGTTCCGTTATATTCTCCATATATTCATCTTGCAGAGTATGGAGGTAATTGAGATTGGCCGATAATTGGCAAGGTCGATATGGCTGCCGTTTTTGGGCTCAGGCCGCACATTACAATGGTATAAAAAATGAACATTAACAGTATTTAAAGGCACTATTTTATTTTAGCTTAAGTTTTATTACCCACACGATAATTGATGAGGCAGCTCAAGCATCTGAACCGTCATGCCTTATCCCCAAATCTCAAAACCTGATTTTGTCAGGAGACTTCAAGCAACTTGGACCTGTCATTATTTCGGATGATGCCAAACAATATGGCCTTGGTGAGCAGCTTTATTTATTAACTGTAAAATTAGTTTTGCCCCATTCAACAATAGCCATCCTTTATAATAAAATAACAAATTTGACTGCTCAATTCTGCAGTGGCTAATCATTTGGCAGCTGCGCTGCGGGCACCGGATTAAAATCCTGCACAGAACAAGTGTTTTTATACTACAAGTAATAGTTCCCGGTCTGGATGTTTGTCTGTGTGAAATTTCTTTGTGTGAAAAAATTTGTCATCCAAGTAGGTATATCATAACAAATGTAATCAAATATATTTTTGATTTCTTATATTTACGCGAAATAATTTTACGGATTTTTAACCTACGTGTTGTTAATTTTACACATTTTATTTAACTTTTTAATCCCCGACGTCTCGGGTGCTTTACGGCACCCATGGTTACAGGGGGGACTGAGGTGTTTGACGTTCCGATGTCATAGTTAGCTCGGTTACCCTCGGTGTTTGAATATTAATTTTTGGATCTACCGATCTACGCATAATGAGCTTACAGTATCTTGAAGCCTTGCAGTGGTATGCTTGGGCTTGGATTTAATTTTCTACCGACTTCAAAAATCAGGAGGTACTTAATGCGACTTTTTTATGTGTGTTACCTCATAACTTTTTCCTGGGTGAACCGATTTCGATAATTCTTTTTTTATTTGAAAGCTGGTGATAAATTGTTTGATCAAGATCTGACGAATAACATTTGAGTTACCTACATATTCTTAATAATTTATATTAAAGTCGGTTGTACAAAATTTTTAATTTTAATTTATATTAATTGTAGGATCCCAAGCAGATGGTAGCACCCATCCATCTTCTCTTTTGAAATTTAAATGTTTTTTAATTTCAATAGCCTCTCGAATCATCCTTGGTAGGAATTGGTGTTTTTTGCGAGGATTTGTGGTCTATCAACTCTAATGTAATGGCGGGGTCGATATTGACCACGTTAACAGACTGCAGACTTCCCGGAACGTCGATGCTTCACATCAGTTATATGTTCTTTTACGCGGGCTTTTATAGATCTTTTTGTTTGTCCTATGTACGAGAGACCACATTCACAATGTAGCTTGTACACTCCTGCATCTTGTAGAGGGATATTACACTTGACGGATGGTAAAAATTGACTAATCTTTTTCGGCGGCTTGTAGTAGGTTTTAATGGAAGTTCGCTTCAAGATGTAGCCAATCTTGTCTGGGACTCTCCTATAGTATGGTAGTGGTAGTACAGTAGGCACACGCTCTACCGTGGCCGGCTTCACTCGGTCACTGTGACGTAGGCGCGGGACTCGAAGCTTGTTGTCTTCCAATACTTGCTTAACGTGCTGAAGTTCGGCGGCCAGATGTTTTCTGTCACAGATCCCTTGTGCTCTCTGAAACAAAAAAAATCTCACTATAGCTATCTCATTCAATCTGGACTTTTTCGCTGCAGCATTATTTGGAGAGTGTATATGTGCATGCGTTTTCTTTTGTTAAAATTGAGGATTATGCCATTATCATGTCACCGTCACGTCGAACACCTCAAACATATTTTATTTCTGATTATTTCATCCACCATGTTATTTGACCTTGACATTTCTATATCTTAGCAGCCACAATACAAAATATTTGTAATTTATTATATTTTCAGGAGTATCATTAATGGAACGATTGAAGAACACATGTCCGTTGTATGCAAAAAACAATAAAAAATACATTGTTATGTTGAAAAAAAACTATCGATCCGACGCTGATATAATCAAATTACCCAACTTATTATTTTACGACGGGGAACTAGAAGTAAGTTCTGTTTTATTTGTTTGGATACATAATAACATAATAAAACGTAAACTGAAAAATTTCCACACGCGAATTTTTTTTTAACTTTAACGGCTAGGTAATGTAGTAATTAAACGTCTGGCTACGGAACTGCGAGCCATCACCATCGGTCCGAATAGCACTGTATAAGTAGTGTATCCTATTAATAATATTGTTCCTGGCCTGGATGTATGTTCATGTGCAATTTATTTTTTTAAACGGTACAAGACAAATTCCTATAATTTTACTATAGTGTGTATTCGTTTGAACAAAGAAAAATTAATTGCGGCTTACATTTGTTGTCGCTAGCTGTTTGCTAAAGTAAAAAAAAGTTTGTTATATGTGTTAGTGTTATATGTTATAGTGTTATATGTTATATATATATATATATATATATATATATATATATATATATATATATATATATATATATATGTGTTAGGTTAGAAACTACTCTCAAAATTATTTAGGTACATAAAACGAATATTTCTCAATAACGACTACGTTTAAAAAAATAGTATGTTACCTTAAATTATCTGTTTGATTAATTTAAATTAATTAATTAAAAATACATTTGCTTTGATTATAACAGGCAAGGGCTGAAACTGATTTAATTAGCAGAACAAATATTTTATACAAAGATAAGCCATGTCGCGCAATTGTGTTTCATGGCGTGCTGTCTACTGAGAAAAAAGTCGGTGATCCCCCTAGGTTTGTATATTTTGATAATAATTATTAATTTACTTATTTTGAACTTAATATGTATTTAAGATGAGAGTTTTTCGTAAATATAATTTTATAAAAGCAAAAGTTGATATAGATAAAATTATACAAATAGCATAACAAAGTGCCTATGTTAAACATGTCAATACAATTAATTTTGGATAAATTTATTTATGTAATTGTAAGGCTATTTAAACAATTTGCCAAAACTAGTAATTTCCAACGCCACATTTAGCTTTTACTCGCGTAATCTGAACTTAGCTGTATGTAAGTACAAGTTTCGTAAAACTGGCTGCTCATAATTGATTAGATTTATAACTATATATAACAGGATTTTTTATTACTACTGATTGCGCGGTTTTCCATTTACCGGCACGGCGACGGCAACAGCAGGCTGCCCGGGAAGCAAAAATGTATAAAATGATTGAAATATGCGGCAAGTTTTTCTTACCGGCGCCAGCGGCGGTACGGCGATGACTCCCACCGGTGCCGTAGCCGGTGCCGTGACCACTAGCTTCCCACTCGTTGCCGGCCGGCAAAACTGCATGTGTATTGTGTATGTATTGCAGTGGTGTGCGTGTACGTGTATGCGCGTGCCGACGCAACGCAACTTTAATACTGCTCCTATTGAAGAAGCGATCGAGCAGAACCAGGGCTCCAAAGTCTTTGCTAGAGATCTGTCTGCCAGAAAGAGCCGAAGTGTCGAAGCTGAAGACCGAGTGTGGCAGCGTCGTTTCCGGGACGTAGATATAGTCCTTATACCTCAATAGTGTTTCCCAACGGATAGGTCTTAAGATGAACAAGGACAAAACCAAGATCATGTTTAATGCCCATGTCACACCTATGCCGGTAGTTGTTGGGAGTACTAAGCTCGAAGTTGTTGACAAGTATGTTTACCTGGGACAAATAGTCCGACTAGGTAAGTCCAACTTCGACCGAGAGGTCAATCGACGGATTCACCTCGGTTGGGCAGCTTTCGGGAAATTACGGCACATCTTCTCGTCAGGTATACCTCAAAACTTGAAAACGAGACTGTACAACCAGTGCGTGTTGCCAGTGCTGACATATGGAGCTGAGACGTGGTTCTTCACTGCTGGCCGGATAAGGAAGCTCAAGGTCGCTCAGCGAGCTATGGAGAGGGCTATGCTCGGAGTTTCTCTGCGTGATAAACTTAGAAATGAGGATATCCGCAGTAGAACTAGAGTGACCGACATAGCCCAACGGATTAGTAAGCTGAAGTGACAATGGGCCGGCCATATAGCTCGAAGAACCGACAACCGATGGGGGAAAAAGGTTCTCGAGTAGCGACCTCGTACCGGCGGACGAAGTGTAGTCGATGGATGCAGGTGGCTCAGGACCGTACTTTGTGGCATTCCTTGGGGGAGGCCTATGTTCAGCAGTGGACTTGTGAAGGGCTGTAATGATGATGATGATGAAACTAATCTTACAGATTTTATCGCGTTTAATTTAACAAATTTTTACTCTTTCTTAATTCCCGACCTTTCGGGTGCTTTAACAGTAGCCATCGGGAGGGCAGGTGTTTGACGTCTCGATTTCATAGTAAATCCGGGTCGCCTTAAAATTTTAAACATTAATTTTTGGTTCGATCTACGCCGACCGAGCGTTTACAGTAGGTAATTTGGAAGTTTTACAGTGGTATGCTTGGGTTTGGTTTTAATTTTTCTAATTACAGGACCCCAAGCAGATGTTTACACCCAAAACAAAAGTATTCGCGTTATCATAAGCAATAACAATATTTTGACTTTGATTTTGCAACCAAACGAATAACTGGAGCCATTATTAGAAAGTAAATGAAGAACCACAACGAAATTTACTTCGTAAATTCGACTTAATATTTTTTTTTTATAAAACTTAATTGACAAACTACAGTCGACCTGATGGTAAGTGGCTACTGCAGCCCATGGACATCTACAAAATTTTTTTTACAAAGAGGCTACAAGGCTAAACATGTGTTGTCCCCTCTGAGAATTAAGATGGAATGCCTCACACCTGTAGGTAATTATACTGGCCCGCTCACAGACTGCTGTTCGGCGGCACAAATAGGTATAATTGGGTGGTATCCACTAGGGTTTAGGTCCCGGGACGTCTCGTGTCTCTAGTCCCGGGACTTTCGGGTCGAGACTCGAGACGAGACAAGATTGTCGAAATTGTTATGTAATCATTTTTATTTTCAAATAATTGAAGGAGCCTAGCGCCATGTGTTAGTTTAATGAATAAATACTTGGTCTACTACGTAACTACTGAGTACGCAACGCAATAAATTAAACACATATGTGATTATGAGAATTAACAATAAGATTATGAACTATGATTAGATACTAGAATTACTAGATAATAGTAAAGTTATTAAGAATTAGTATTATTTTTAACTAAGTTCGTTTCATAACTAAGATTTAACTGTTTAGAAGTGCATATGTGTGTGACTAAAAAAAATAAACAAAGCAATTATTACGACTGAAATTAACGTTAAAGTTATTTAATTTTCTGTTTGACTGTCTAATAAATGTTGATTTTTAAAAAAATTGGCTCTTTTTAAGACGTTTCACCAGAAATTAACTCAATTAAAATTCTTCAAAAAAGGTTTACCCATCTCAAAAAAAAGCAAAGAAGCTTTTTCTTAAAAGTCTCGAAGTCCCGGGAATTCCCGGGACTGTGATTATAGGTTGTCCCATGTCCCGGAACTTTGAAATTGTCGGGAACTCCCAAACCATAGTACCCACCCAGACGATTTCGTAGGCAGATTAACTAATGCTAAGACATAGGTAGTGCGTAGAAGTACCCACTTGATATTCAGAATGTCAATTTTTTTTTACTTCTTGGTTCTGTGAAGTCTGCTTTAAGGCCCGCCACATACATACGGAATTCTGTTTCGGGATTCCGTTTCGATATTCCGATTCGAGATTCCGAACGCAGCAAGTTCATATAAAATATATGACACGTCACCGTCACACACGTACGGTAGTTTTCCGTTCGAAATTTTGCGGACAAAACGGGATTCCGTATGTGTGTGGCCGACCCATTCGGAATTCCGAAACGGGATCCCGAAACGGAATTCCGTATGTATGTGGCCGGCCTTACTTTTAATTAAAAACTATTATTTACCCATTCGAATTTCAATGTCGTTTTAACAGTTACATTATATGACACCCTTAGACTACCCCTGAATTATATTTATTATAAAATACCCACCTTTTTAAATATAAAAATACAGTAAAATTATAAACTATATAGGTCCTCGGTTATAAAGCATACCTAAACAAGCTGTATAGAGCGCGTGTTAGATTATTTATTAAAGTGTGTAATCACTAGCGAAAAGCTTTTATTTTATACAATTATTAAATACACAGATTATAACATAGCATAAACATTTAAAAGAAATATGACGATGTAAATAATGCTCTATTGAAACTAGTACATTGGTTTAACGACAACAATTTGCTCTTAAACGGCAATAAAGGCTGTCCAAGGGAATTTCTGTAAGCCATCACTACCATCTCTGCACAGGGAGGATGACTCACTGGCCCATGACGCAAAAGACAAAGCCGACCTTTTAGGCTCCCTTTTTGCGTCCAACTCGACTCTTGATGACGGGGGGAAAACACCGCCGACCATCCCGCGGTGTGAGTGCTCCATGCCGGATGTGCTGTTCTCACAGCGCTCGGTTCGCAAAGCACTGCTCTCCCTGGACATCCAGAAGTCGAGTGGGCCTGACGGAATCCCCCCAATTGTGCTGAGGACGTGTGCTCCGGAGTTGGCACCGGTCCTAACGCGTCTTTTCCGGTACTCCTACTCCCAAGGCGTAGTCCCGAATTCATGGAAGACAGCTTTTGTCCACCCGATCCCTAAAAAAGGCGACCGCTCAGACCCGTCCAACTATAGGCCTATCGCGATCACCTCCTTGTTCTCCAAAATAATGGAATCCATTATTAACTGCCAGCTCATCCGGTACCTTGAGGATCACCAGCTGATTAGTGACCGCCAATACGGTTTTTGTCGGTGTCGATCAGCTGGTGATCTTCTTGTCTACCTGACCCATAGATGGGCGGAGGCAGTAGAGTCCAAGGGGGAGGCGTTGGCCGTTAGTCTGGACATTGCGAAGGCCTTTGATCGGGTTTGGCACAAAGCGCTTCTTTCAAAGCTGCCTTCCTATGGGCTTCCCGAGAAATTGTGCAATTGGATCACCAGCTTTCTTGCAGATCGGAGCATCAAGGTCGTTGTAGACGGTGCATGTTCTGACTACAAGCCTATTAACGCTGGTGTTCCACAAGGCTGTGTGCTATCACCAACGCTGTTTCTTCTGCATATCAATGATATGTTGCTAACTGGTAACATTCATTGCTATGCGGATGACAGCACTGGTGATGCTCTATACACCGGCCGGGCCAATATTTCTCGGGAAAACGTCGCCGAGTACCGGAACAAACTTGTGTCTGAAGTCGAGTCTTTGCTGGACAAAGTCTCGGATTGGGGGCGACTAAATCTAGTCCAGTTTAATCCTCAGAAGACACAAGTTTGCGCGTTTACCGCTAAAAAGAACCCCTTTGTCGTATCTCCTCAGATTCAAGGCACTCCCCTTCTTGCCTCAACCAGTATCGATATCCTCGGAGTCGACATATCGAGTGACGTGCAGTTTCGTGGTCACTTGGAAGAGAAGGCCAAATTGGCCTCTAAAAAGCTTGGCGTGCTCAGCAGAGCGGGACAGTATTTCATGCCGGCACACCGCCTGCAACTTTACAAGGCGCAGGTTCGGCCTCACATGGAATACTGTTCCCATCTCTGGGCAGGGGCTCCCCAGTGCCAGCTCCTTCCACTTGACCGCATCCAGCGCAGAGCGGCTCGAATCGTCGACGACCGAGCCCTTTCCGATCGGCTCGATTCATTGGCACTGCGAAGAGATGTTGCATCTCTTTGCATTTTCTTTCGCATCTACCATGGGGAGGAATTGTTCGGATTAATCCCAGCCGCCAAATTTCACGAACGCACATCGCGGCAGAACTCCCGATACCATCCACACCATCTGGATGATTGGCGGTCCACCACTGTGCGATTTAGAAGATGTTTTCTTCCTCGCACAACTTCCTTGTGGAATAGTTTACCACCAGGGATTTTTCCGGACCGATACGACTTAGGGACCTTCAAGAAAAGAGCCTACTCCTTTTTAAAAGGCCGGCAACGCATCTGCAATTCCCCTGGTGTTGCGGTTGTTCATGGGCGGCGGTAGTCACTTACCATCAGGTGAGCCGCATGCTCGTTTGCCCCCTCTCCTATAAAAAAAAAAAAAAAAAAAATAAGACAAAATGACTTAAATTTACAATAGTTAGTTTCATAGCGTAATGTCTTATGGAATTTCGCTATGGGGTAATGCGACTGATATTGAAGCTATATTTGTTTTGCAAAAGAGAGCCGTACGGGCGATTTATAATCTAAATTGTAAAGAGTCCCTCAGAGAAAAATTTAAAGAAATAAACATATTAACTTTGGCATCGCAATATATTTATGAAAATGTAATGTATGTACATAAAAAACATAAATAGCTTTAATAAGAATAAGGATGTTCATACCTTAAACATTAGGAACAAACATAAGCTTGTAATGCCAGTTACTAGACTCCACAGAATTAGTAATTCATTTATGGGGCAATGTATACGCTTTTACAAAAAAATCCCAGAACATGTTCAAAGTTTATCAATAAACAAGTTTAAAAGTTTTATTAAAGAAAAACTGTACAAAAAGGTTTATAAGGTTTATAATATCAAGGAATACATGAATGAAAATAACCCCTGGGAATAAGGTGATCGCCACCATGCTGGTTCTACGAAAATTCTTTAAAATTGTATAAACAAAATTATTGTTAAGTGAAATTATGTTTAAAAAAAAGTCCCGCTGGGTTTCTTGCTGGTTCTTCCCAGGACAGAGGAATTTTCCGAATCAGTGGTAAATAAAATAATGACTTTCAATAAGTATTATGTAATAATCCATATTGAATAAAAATCATTATATTCTATTTTAAATAGTATAATAACCAAATAAACAGATTACTTAGCTTAAGTATTTCGGTCTAATAAAATAGGTTACCAATTTTAAGAACCTTTCGGCCCTTACAGCTCACTGGCAGAGTTACCCTATTTTACTTGTTCACTTGTTGGCGGCACAACTAACTGTTGGTATAACTTACTGATCTATTCATTACAGCGGACTTTTATATACCATTCTAATGATTTTAGACATTAACCCAAGATTAAATATTTTTATTCTAAATAATATAAGTATTGTAAATATTGCATCATAAATCATAAAATAACTGTTAATCAATATTTTAGCAAGTAATAACTGATAATAATTATTTATACACATTTTATAATATTAATGTTATGTTCGCCAGAAGTTGACGAGCTTACGGCGTCTGATGTTTTTATTTAATTGTCATTTATAAATTATTATTAGATTATCTTATAAATCTAACAAATGACAGTAATTATTTAAGTAATTAGTCAGCACATAATTATTCGATAAGCTAGTGATCCAAGAACCGAAATTATTTAGATAACATAATACAAACTTAATTTAAATCGTAAGTACTAACAGTCTTGTTTTGTGGATAGGTAGTAAAATAAAAAATATCAACTACCTTACAAACTAGACATTAAATCACCTAACCATCTTATTGTCTACTAGCTTCTGCCCGCGACTTCGTACGCGGATCCTGTTGCTTATGCCAGCGACAACGGGGTAGTCAAAATCGAAGATCTGAAATGTCTGATGTTGAATTCTAAGAAAGCGTGATTCGCGAGACGATTCAAGACGTTCTAGACCTTTCATTTTTGTAAGTCAACAGGAAATACCCATCAGACTAAACAACCTTTGCTAAGACGTCATTCCTATATATGTTATAGTGTCGCTGGGCTTTGGATGGAGTGTAACTCCTTGTGTGTTATTAAGTTAATATATTGGTAATATTGTTTAGATCACGTTCACATGAGGCTTAAGTACTTATAGAACAAAAATACTTCAGCGCCAAGCTTCCGGGTAAACTATGTTAAAAGTTGACCCGTCCGGCACGTGAACATAAAGATTTCTAGAACTGCTAACCCGGGAGAGAGCGACGTACAACTGACCATGCGAGAAACAACTGACACCGAGATCTATTCCAGCAACACGAAAAGTCTGCCCTTGAGCCTTATTGATTGTCATTGCATAACACAATGATACTTTCTTTCAAATTGGAATGGAAAATTATTTGGTATTATGGGAAATCTGGGAATAAAGACGGTTTCTCCTGCACCGCAACCTGTTAAAATTTGAGCCTCGATTATATTTTGTTGCAACTGGGTTACTTTTAGCCGAGTTCCATTGCAAAGTTGTGGTGGTCTTAAATTTTGGAGCAGAATAATTGGAATGCCAATTTTTAAACAAATTTCATGAGAAGGAAGTCCGGACATATTTAAAGAATTTAAAAATTCTATCGGGTAATTAGTGGCTTCGTGTTCATCGACCATTCTATTTATTGAACTATAAGCTTTGCTTTCCCCCTGTATATTCGACAGTATTTTGTTATTGATCTCAGATGCCTGGTCATTGCGAGGGGTTAAAATGGATCTTTCGCATAGGCAAAAATTGTCCCTATTTAATATAATTGTTACGTCACCGACGATATAAGATGTGGTTGGGATTGCACTATACAACATAACTCAGGCGTCAGAATAAGTTTTCCTTGGTGTAGTTGTGGATAGGTACCTTCCCCAATCTTTAATAATTTATCAGAAAATTGACGATCATCCGGGTTATTTCCAGTTCTCACTCGCATGTTTATAGTCAAAAGTACCGATTGTATATCACGTCGCAAATAAGAGCTTTTTAGGCAAGCCCCAACCTCATCAGCTCGGGTTCCCTGTGGTATTACCGGTAAGGTTTGTCGGAAATCACCACAAAATAAAACCGTGATACCGCCCATTGATCGATCATTTTGCCTTAAAGATCTGTCTACTGCTTCTACTACTTTTCGGTGGGCCATCGTACATTCATCCCATATGATTAAATTACACTCACGTAATACCTTAACTATGTTGCTATTTCTTGAAATACTACAGGTTGGACTTTCCGTGCGATCTAAATCAATTGGTATTTTAAACATAGTGTGAGCAGTTTTACCTCCTGGTAGCAATGTTGCAGCTATACCTGATAAAGCCACGGCAAGAGCAATTTTACGCTGATTTCGAACATAAGCTAATATTAATTTAGTCAAAAAGGTTTTCCCAGTTCCTCCAGGTGCATCTAAAAACCATATTGTTCCCAAATTATTCTGAACACTCTCGCACACGCGATCATAGACAACGTTGTTCTGCAGTCATCATTGGGATACCGTTTTCTAATGTTGCCAGCAGTTCCATTGAGTTGTAACCAATCTCTGCAGAATATTCCCTATTGGTAACCTCTCCGACTGAGGTTGGTGTTGGCAAACCATATTCACAGAGTGATTTACCGCCTACTGCTGTTAAGTCTTCCTGAAGAGCTAATAAGCACAGATTTATGACAAGATCACGGAAATTATCATTAGTTGCGCCTTCATCATTGTGAGATATATTCCAAAGAAAGTCTTCTGCAAATTTTTCTTTATATTTTTCCCATAATTGTACAGCATCTGACAAATTACAAAATGTGAGTAATGTTACAAATAAATGGCGTAACCGTCGTGGATTATCACTAACACAGGATTCTGCTAAAGCGTCATCCCAATGCTGATCATTTTCAAGCAAACGACGCGCTTGGCAAGCTGCATGATAAGTTGGATAAACAACATCGTGTACTTTTTTCAAATCTATAAATGACGTTGGTCCTCGCACTGTATGTAATAATAATTGCAAATGGAAACAGTCAGCGTTGTTAGGATGAACGATATACACTCTACCAAGAACATGTTCTTTGAAAATACCTGACTCGCTATCTACAGGCCTGCCACGGCGTCTACGATTAAAGACACCTCGTTGTTTATCGTAGGTATAATACGATGGAACTTCCTCATACAAAAGAGATTTTGCAAAATCATCAGTTTGGCAAAGTCGAAAGAATGCTAATAAAGTTGTTTGTCTAGTGTTCTCTAATCGTTCTGTAACATTTTCGGCGTTGAAATATATACGTTGACCGCCTTCGAGATGAACATCCAGATGAGTCACAGGTGGATATCTTTCGTGAATGTTGAAACTTAAGATCCACCACACAGCTTCTGAAGAGCTGATATATCTGCCTGACTGAAATCTAGTAACTTCATCATGTTCATTTCTCAACGCAAATGTAGCTTTGTCACTGCCCTTGTTAATATACTTACATATATATTTTATTGACTCTACACTATTACACATTTCAACATTTATGTGAGCTTGAAATGCTCTAGACATCACAGGCGAATACGGAACGACCCACCTATTATCTAAAGTAACCTGTTGTCCAGACACTCGCTTTTCAAAAGTAAAACCACCATTGTCTCTTGAACGGTGACGATATAATGGGTATCCATCATGTCCTGTTACAGTTTCATCCACTAATGCTTTTGGATATCTTTTAGTGCAACGACCGTCTTGCATGCAAGGAGCATTCCCGTTAAATGCACCACATGGACCATGTATCATATGAGTTTTTACAATGTCGTATAACACGGGATCTGCAATTGGATCTGGAATTTCAGCACTGATTGAACTGTCTACATCATTAGGTTGAACCTTATCTTTTAACCAAAGCAGGATATGTGTGTGAGGTAAGCCGCGTTTTTGCCACTCAACACTATACATATAACACAATACATCTCCAAAAATGTTATCTTTAGTAAGTAGATCTATCATTGATTTTAATTTTAAATGAAAAACTCTTGCGATAATATCATGGCGGTCAAGCGGTGCTTGACCCTCAATAAGCTCCCGAGTGATTTCATCCCACTTGGGATTGGTAGTTACAGTAATAAATAAGTCGGGACGTCCATATTTCCTACTTAACAAAAAGCATCTTGAGTACGTTCGTGCATGTACGAGGGCTGCACTAAAAGTATCGGGAATGGAATATTACCACTGTTCCGGTTTTTTAAAATTGAATACCATTTATTTATTCAAAAAAAGATTCTCGGTCTAGTCACAAGGTTTTGTCAAACTTGTTTAGTCGTTGAGAAAATGGAATTGACTCGGGAAAATTCAAGAGCGATGATTTATTATGACTTTCGAAGTGGTTTAACACAAAAACAGTGTGAGTGAAAAAAAAATCTAAAAATAAATTATTAAACGTAAGAGTAGACTAAAAGTCGCGCTGATAAGCACGGTTTGTTAAAATCAATTATTGTCTGTCAATAAGGTCGAACACTCTGAACGTCTATTCGCATCAACAGCCAAATATTGTATGAAGCAAGCTCGCACTCGGACCCCTCGCCTTGGTTATATTCTCTTTGCCTACCGCCGCGAGCCGCGTCGAGCGCGGCGACCGTTACACAAAAATAATCCTTATAGCATGATTCAGTATTCACGCGCGATGGCTTATTAGCGTATTTCATGTATAACTTTGGTGTTTCTATACCGATTTCTATAATTCTTTTTTATTGAATACATAGTAATGTCAACTTTTTTTAATTAGGGATGAGTGAGAGTGTTATAAACGTAAGAGTAGACAAATATAATGAGAAAGCTCCGAACTGCTAAACTATCGGGAGTTACACGTGTTATTGTGAGTCAACCATAAAAGATAGACATATGCTGTCGTGGGAAATTTTTTATATAATTTTAAGGAGAACATTTCCGTTATACATGATTTCTGTGTAGCTTTAACCATTAAGGCTGCACACGCGACGGGGCTTAAAAAATGGAGTTATTTCTCCCGTTTCCCCAACATTTACCTTCACTGCTCTGCTCCTATTGATCGTAGCGTGATGAAAAGTATACTATAACCTGCCCAGGAGTATGAAGAATGATTGTACCAAGTTTCGTTAAAATCCGTCGAGTAGTTTTTGTTTCTATAACGAACATACAGACAGACAGACAGACAAACATTTTACTGTTTGCATTTTTGGCATCAGCGTGCGCGCGCCTCCCACAAATACCCTTTGATACCCTAATTAATTTTGTTAAAATCAGAGTTTTCTTATTAAAATATTATTTACCGATGAACGAAAATATTATTCTTCTGAGTTTGCTTACGTGAATCGTTATTACAGCTTGCAACGTGCAATAAACATTTCACCATGGTAAATTAAAATTCAAGTAAATACCGACGAGAAAAATCATAGGCACGTGTGTCCTTTTGTGACTAATAGCATCGCCCTAGCAATTTCGAGAATGTTCATACTCGTGCTTACTATTCATACTTGCTAACGCGAGCTCTGTAGCTTGCTTATGTATACCCTAAGTTCTCGCTCCTTTTCCGCCGATGCAAGAATAATTGTGTTCTGTGCGTCGATGTCGCACGTCCATATTTAGTATTTTTTATGTTTCAGCTTTTCCAACATGAACGAATTCATTAATATAAAAAAGTATGTTAAGAAACTCTTCGACACATGGGGAAAAACAAGAAGATATCTATAAAACAAACTTGGCAAAGTTACCATGCTAGTGATGCCACGATGTGACGGTTACTTTGTCATGCTTTGTTACAACCAAGGGTTGTCACTTTCAACCTATGTTTTTAACCGATTAAACAAAATGTTCTGCACTTGACATTCTATCTATGTATGTATGTTTGTATCGATATTTCACCGTAGCAGCCCATTAGACCGATTTTACCAAATGAGTCGTCAATCAATTCGTCTTTATTAAAAGTGAAGGAAAGGAATAGAGAAATCTATATTATTTTTACTACGTTGTCGGGCATTAATAATAACCACTCAGTATTTTTCATAATTACAACTTATTGATATTAAGCAAAACATTAATTGTCATTTTTAATGATTATTAATGTTTTGCTATTGTGGAAAAACAATATTTAGATTGATAACAATATTTATGACATGACATCATTTTATTTCGACCCGTAATAAAATGGTGATGATGAGTGATAAAAAAAACTAATACTTGTTAAAAATGTTTGTAACAAGTTTTTTTTATTCTATACTATAATTGATTTAAGCTTATTATTGTACTAATTTTATTTTTAATTTTAGACGAGAGGATTTTTGTTTAATATATTTTAGATTTTTTTTAAAGAAATTATTATTTCCGTGGTAGAGCCACGCTGCAGCTATATTAGAAGTATAGTTGTAGCACGAATGGGTCGGCTCGACCGGGGAAGGACCACGCTCTCACAGAATACCAACGTGAAATAGCAGCTTAACACTACTGTGTTTCGTATGGTGAGTGTAGAGAACCGGAGAACCTTTTTACTGGAAAAGAGGTATTCCATCTTAGTCCTCACGGGTGACGATAACGCATCTGCATTTTGATTCGCAAACGAAGATAGATGTAGATGTCTATGGGCCACAGCAAACACTTACCATCAGGTGGACTATGTGCTCGTTTGTCACCCTATCCTATAAAAAAAATTGTGACAAGATTTAAATAAAAAAATAAAGTTAAGTATTTTTTTATACATATTTTCCTACATATTTTATTTATTTACACATATTTTCAAATTTGCATGAAAAACTGAAAAATGGGAGGGCAACATTGTCACAAGCGTAACCTTTGCTATGTGCAACACAATTAAAGAATCAAATCATAACTCTGGATGTTGTGTATTATATTATGAGGTAAATTTACCTTCAAGCTTGAAGTCAAATCATATTATTTTCATTATAAACTCTGATGGCAAATTTGCCAAAAACAGAGGTTAACTTTGCCAATTTCTATTTTTGAGTATTTTGTCTATTTAATATTAGTATTCGTTTAAATCAGTAATAAATACCAAATCTATGAAGAATATAATGTCACATTTAACATTGACGCCCAGTTTCACAGTACATTATTTGTTGGAAAATTGATGTTAAACTTTTAAGTCCTTCCAAAAATGGCAAAGTTGCCAGGTGTCACGGTATTTTGGTAGATGGGTAATAATTATGTGGTAGGTTTTAGCAGATCAATATAATACAGTTTGGAATTCATAAAACGCGATTTTTATTAATCAAACATAAAATTCTAATCAATTTACTGCCCCTTAAAAGGGTTAAGTTGTCATACAATTTTCGTCTTGATTGTTTGATAGCAGTTTTACGTACAAGCTATTTTAATCTAATTTCAATTTTCAATATATTTTTGAAAGACATCCGTTAGCTTTGAAAAAATCGTGAACATACACAATTACGTCGGTACCTACATAAATAACTGCCGAAGCTAGTTTTTTTAATCGCAAAAGAGTAATCTTACTTCAAATTTAAGCTCTGGTATTGCAACTCCAACCAGTTTGTACAGTCTACCCTTGGTCCAAAAAGGGATGAAACACTAAAATGGATAGAACAAACGAAACTCCTGATGTTGAGTTCCTAGCTGGGCTACCATTTATTTCCAATTCACAGCTTTTTGGAAATCTGAAATTAGAAAAGTATTACCGTATTAACCTTTATCGTGTACTAAAATAACAAAGCTGTTTAGTTTTATTTTAAACTTTGAGTTATATGCGTTTGTAATAAAAAGGATCTTAAATACTATATTGTTATATTATTATTATTATTATTACTATACTTAGATACTATAGATTATACAGCACTAGTTCTAACTCGAGGAAAGCCGAAAGTGGGTATGCCTCGGCCCGGGCGTGCGCCTCTCGCAACACCCGTTAATACACTAATTAATTTTGTTAAAATCAGTGTTTTCTTATCAATTAATTATTTACTAATGAAAGGAAATATAATTATTCTTCTAATTTTGCTTTCGTGAATAATTTTTACAGCTTGTTACTGCATATTTCGCCATGATAACTTAAAATTCCAGTAAATACCGGCGCGAGAAATGATTGGCGCGTGTATTTTTTCGGGACTAATCGGGCCGATGGCCTTGCAATTTCGAGACTTCATACCGGTGCATACTATTCATACTCGCTAACTCGCGCTCTATAGCTTGCTTATGTATTTCTAAGGTCTCGCTTCTTTTCCGCCTATGTCACACGTCTATACTTAATATTTTTTATGTTTCAGCTTTTGCAACAGGGACGAATTGATTTATATAAAAAAGTATGTTACGAAACTCTTAAACACACATGGGGTAAAAGAAGAAGATATTGGAATTATTGCAACTTATTCGAGTCAGGTAAATACTTCTCGTTTAAGGCCACGTAGCCGTCTAATAAACATAAATAGTTTAGTTAGTACTTACATTTATTGCCTAGCTATTACATCTCTTCTTCATCAGCTAGTAAAAGTCTGCTGAACGTGAGCCTCTCCCTACAACGGGGGAATGATTTGCCTCAATCATCACACTTGGCTTGATAAATGTAGTATATCCTTGATACTGCAGCCCGTCGCCGATCTTGATATTTTACGCTTGGCGTAAATGATATGGTTAGATAGACCACTGTCTTTGGAAAGCCGTAAGAATTTACTGACATCCCATGGTCACCACTCACAGACACCCACAGAACAAAATGGGGTATGGATTCTCTGACGCCGCCACCACACGGTTATAGTATAGCCGTGTGTGAGTACAAAGACATAGTTTGTACATTTTTCGGTTTGGTTGTATTGTGATTAACACCGTATCTTAGTTAAACGGTCTTTTGGGTAACATGTGTATTTAAAAATTCGCTCATTACGTCCCTTTAAGCGGTGTGGAACCATGATGAAAGCACTAGATAAAAATAAAATGCATTATGTGTTCTTAGTTAAAAGCTAAAATTACACTAGTAACCCTTATTTCAACCCTCAGCCGGTACTCAAAATTTAGTAAGAAAAGATGAAAACGACAAACATCTGTTATTTGGTTTACTGGAAGTTCATAATAAACCATTTTACATTTCCAGGTTGTATTGATAAAGGAGTGGGTGCAAAAGCACCATTTGAACATTGACGTGGAAACTGTGGACGCTTTCCAAGGTCAGGAGAAACGAGTCATATTGATCTCCACTGTCCGTGGACAAGGCAAACAAAGGACGAATGTTAAACTCGGATTTATTACCGATGAAAAGGTGATATACATTTTCAATATTTTTATCTAGGTTTCTTATCTACTTTATTATCCGTATAAAAAGAGAGTTATTAGTAGTATTTGAGAAATTTTGATTATAACTTTTCTTTATTTTATTATTATGTAAGTGTGGTGAATCCGAAAGGAAATTCTAGATGACGTAAATTTTATACATGGGTGTTGGTAAATGCTAACAATATTCAGAACTTGTCCTAAACATTTAGATTAGACCGCTAACGAAAAGCTATCCCTTAGAGGCGGGCCCTTTACAGGTGGCAGTTTCAATTATTCTTTTTAAGTTACGAGGTTGCTACAGGAATAAATTAACATGATTGGTTGGGTTACGGAACGGTCGGAAAAGTCATGAAAGAAAGGCAAACAATTCTTTCACCATACACAGTTTCTGTTTTTCAATATATGCCCAAATTTTCAGAGAAGTTTCAGAATAAGTAATATAGGTACGAATGGTTTATTTAAAAAATATCAAACATTCTCTCCTTTCTATCTTTTAAATTCAGTATGCGTGCTAATGAATTTAAAATTTTATGTTTACTGATTGTAATTTTTTTTTCATTCATAAATATTTACGCCTACTATTATACTATGCACGCAAACATTCGTAAGGGACGCTCGGTCGGCAAAAAGTTGTGCATTGAATCGTGTGCGAACATAAAGCGTAATTGTTGCCCATAAATTACGTTCAATTTGGGATAATTCAAAATAAAAGTAGAATTGTAAACGAAAATATTTTTTGGAAAATTAGTAAACGAATGCCGTGTGTCCTGCAAATTTTTTTTAACATACTCGTACTTGACATACATATGTACGATTCGCCAGCACTATCAAACCATAAATATTCAACTATTAAATTAATAATCATAAAAAATATATGAGAATACATAATTCTAATATAATGCAACTAATATACCGAATAAAAAAAATTAAAATACATTTATCGTTGTACGCTGTGTGTATTTCCATAAAATAGTTTATTGATGTTGAAAAAATACTACGTTCGTACAGTAGGTGGCGTCTTACATATTTCTTACCCGATATATTGTAGCGAGCCGGCGCGCCGGCTGAATGCTCAAGGTCGTTCGCATGGAGTAGCCCCTTAAACACAATAATATTCATTTTATGACACAGACACAGCGATCTGTACCGATAATTGAATTTAATACATGGGGCAGCACTATTGTTATGGCACACATGCACATTTCACTCACTCGGGTACATTTTGTTTTTGGTCTCACCCTAATCACGCCATCGCCAATCTAATGTATACTATATCTATGATTAGCACATTCTTGCATTTTTGCGGTCAGTTTATTTTTGCCTATCAAAAAGTTATCTAAACTTCAAAAGTAGGAAGAAGAATATGCCAGATAAGGAAAGATATTTAGCTGTTCTGCTAATTTTATACGAAAGGGTGACAAACGAACACACAGTCCACCTGATGGAAAGTGGTTGCTGTGGCCCATTGACATCTACATCTATCCTCGATTACAAATCAGAATGCAGATGAAAACGTAACATACGATTACACAAACTTTACTCGGGTTATTTACAAGAATATATTCTTTACTAGCTGTGACCCGCGGTTTCACCCGCGTATATCACGTGTCTGCGCCGCGCGACATGATATGGACATCCAGTACAAGTATTTTAGATAGCAATGTATGGAAAAATTTGTAGTATTAATGGAGTACTTTTATCCACTCTCCCTTCCCTTCCCGGGTGAGCTTCACCCCCCCCCCCCCTCATTATTTATCAAGAATCATTTCGTACCTACACACTTTAATGTATCGTGTACCGTTTTTTTTAAGACCGGAAAAACCCGCGATTCGGGAGGGTTTTGGGGTGAGTGGATAAAATGTAACTTTGCTCTATAACGTGCATATACCGATAGATTAAAAGTACTCCGTTACTTTTGCGAATTTTTTAACCTAAATTGATTGAACTAACCTCCCTCATAGAGAAGCGTTCACTGCTCGTTTCTTTCTTTTTTATAGGATAAGGGTGACAAACGAGCACACAGTCCACCTGATGGTAAGTGGTTGCTGCGGCCCATAGACATCTACATCTATCCTCTGTTACAAATAAAAATGTAGATGAGTTGTTACCCGTGAGGACTAAGATGGAATGCCTCATTTCCAGTAAAAAGGGTCTCCGGCCACCTGCACTCACCAATCGAAACGCAGAGGTAAACTTCTACTTCACGCTGGTTTTCTGTGAGGTCGTGGTACTACCCCGGTTCGAGCCAGCCCATCCGTGCGACAGCAAAAGCTGCCGCGTGGCTCTACCACTGTTAAAACTGTTCTCTCGGTTCTCACCGGGTGGCTAGAATTTAGGCGTGATTCGCGCGCCGATTCGAGTGTTGAATTATTTCAATTTTTCGTTATCTCTTAAACTATGCGACCAAATAACATGCTATAAAAGTCAAACATTATTTTTATTATATTGTGTTGATGATGAAGTAGCTTTCGTTCGTAAGGAATAATATTTTTTTATATAGGAAAAGGGCAAACGAGCATACGGTGCACCTGATGGTAAGTGACTACCGCCGCCCATGAACAACTGCAACACCAGGGGAATTGCAAGTGCGTTGCCGGCCTTTTAGAAAGGAGTAAGCTCTTTTCTTGAAGGTCCCTTAGTCGTATCGGTCCAGAAAAATCGCCGGTGGTAAACTATTCCACAAAGAGGTCGTACGCGGAAGAAAACTCCTAGTAAAAGGTACAGTGGTGGACCGCCAAGCATCCAGATGGTGTGGATAGTATCGGGAGTTTTGCTGCGATGTGCGTTCGTGAAATTTGGCGGCTGGGATCAATTCGAACAATTCCTCAGAGCACTCCCTGTGGTAAATGCGAAAGAAAATGCAAAAGGATGCAACATCTCTTCGCAGCGCCAGTGAATCGAGTCGATCGGGAGGACTCGGTTGTCAACGATTCGAGCCGCTCTGCGCTGGTTGCGGTCAAGTGGAAGGAGCTGGCACTGGGGAGCCCCAGCCCAGGGATGTGAACAGTATTCCATGTGAGGCCGAACCTGCGCCTTGTAAAGTTGCAGGCGGTGTGCTGGCATGAAATACTTTCCCGCTCTGCTGAACACGTCAAGCTTTTTAGAGGCCAATTTGCCCGTCTCTTTCAAGTGACCACGAAACTGCACGTCACTCGATATATCGACACCAAAGATTCTGTAACTGGCGGAGGCAACAAGGGAAGTGCCTTCAAACTGAGAAGATACGACAAACGGGTTCTTTTAAGCGGTAAACGCGCAAACTTATGTCTTTTGAGGATTAAACTGGACTAGATTTAGTCGCCTCCAATCCGAGACTTTGTTTAGCAAAGTCTTAACTTCAGACACAAGTTTGTTCCGGCACTCGGCGACGTTTTCCCGAGAAATATTGACACGGTCGGTTTCACCAGTGCTGTAATCCGCATAGTAATGAATGTTACCGTTGCGCAACATATAATTGATATAAAGAAGAAGCAGCGTTCGTGATAGCACGCAGCCTTGTGGAACACCAGCGTTAATAGGCTTGTAGTCGGAGCATGTACCGTCTACAACGACCTTGATGCTCCGATCTGCAAGAAAGCTGGTGATACAGTTGCACAATTTCTCGGGAAGCCTATAGGAAGGAAGCTTCGAAAGAAGCGCTTTGTGCTAAGTCCGATCGAAGGCTTTCGCAATGTCCAAACTAATAGCCAATGCCTCCCTATTGGACTCTACTGCCTCCGCCCATATATGTGTCAGGTAGACTAGAAGATCATCAGCTGATCGACCTCGACGATATCCATATTGGCGGCCACTAATCAACTGGTGATCTTCAAGGTACCGCATGAGCTGGCAGTTTATAACGGATTCCATTATTTTGGAGAACAAGGAGGTGATGGCGATAGGCCTGTAGTTGGACGGTTCTGAGCGGTCGCCTTTTTTAGGGATCGGGTGGACCAAAGGCGCCTTCCATGAATTTGGGACTACGCCTTGGGAGTAGGAGCAGCGGAAAAGAACCGAGCGCTGTATGAACCGCCGCGGGATGGTCAGCGGTGTGTTCCCCCCGTTATCGAGAGTCGAGTTGGACGTAAACAAATAGCCTAGTAGATCGGCTTTCTCCTTTGCGGCATTAGCCATTGAGTCGTCCTCCCTGTTTAGAGATGGAAGAGACGGCTGACAGAAGTTCCCTTGGACAGACTTGGCGAGAGACCAGATTGCACGAGTTCCCGAAAGAAGGCGAACTCTTTTGCAAGGACTCTTTTGAAGGACCTGGAGGCGGAATTGTACTTCTTTTTAAGGGCGCTGGTGTTTATATCTCGGGACGTTGATGCGTCAGCCCAGGCCCGGTAGCACTCCTGTTTGTAGCGTGATGCTATTTTACAGGATCAACTAAACCATGACTGAGATCTGCTTCCGATAAGCACCACAGAGGAAGGAATAAAAAGTTCCATACCCTGAAGTACCATATCAGCAACAGAATTAGCAACAACCTTGGGATCGTCCGGCGAGAAGCAAACCCGCCCCCAACGGTGGGATGCAAAGAAAGACCGCATCCCATCGTAATCGGCCGACCTATAGTGCCAAAAACGGCGGCAGCCTGCTGAAAGAAGCCGCGATTTTAGCGTGAGTGGCCCACACTCCGGACTAGACAATGGTCCGAGAAGTCAAGAGGGGCATCAACGGAGACCTGATATTTGTCCGGATGAGAGGTCAGCAGAAGGTTCAACAGGGAAGGTGCATCATCCTCCACATCATATGCCAAGGCAAAATCATGAACAGATATACCCGCATGATCGGTTAAACGTGAACCGAGCCATTCGGCGTGGTGGGCGTTAAAATCGCCAAGGAATCTGTAGCCAATTGGACGTGGTTGATGAGCCGGTCTCTTTCGCCATTACCGCTATGGGACTTTGGTTCGAATTTGTACCCCAGGTAAGAGAGATACGAAGTATCAGTCGGAGAGGACACCTGCATCTCGGTCAGAAAGTGCAAGGCCGGCTTCGCCGTCTC